CCGCGCTCCTCGTCCGCCAGGACACCACGAGCGGCGTCCTCCTGCACGGCAAGGGCCTTCGTTGCGCGCTCCAGCCTCTCACAGGCGTACTCCTTTCCGAGCTCCTCCACGCTGCCGCCTCGCTCCACCGCAGCTCACGCCGCCGCGTTCTCTCCTCCGACAAGAGGTGGGCGAAGCACAAGTTGCGCCTGCCGCCGCGCTCCTCGTCCGCCAGGACACCACGAGCGGTGTTGTTGTTTTGAATAAGAGTGTCGAGTTCGTGTATTAAGATGTCTGTTGTATACTTGTCGGCATTAGTCTTCTCTGTGAACTCTTTTTTTTCTTTTGTGGATGCGTCTTTTTCAAGTATTTCTGTGGTTATTGTCTCCATTATGTTTTGCTCATCTTGTAGTGCAATGGAAGGCATAGACTTCTTTTTTTTTCTTGGTTGCTCAACAATACTTTTTCTGCTCCTTTAATAAGTTTTATGAGTTCTAGAATTTCGCTGTCGTGGAGTCGGTCTCGTTCTTTTTCTTCGTCGTGCTCTAGTGTTAGCGAATTATCTATGGTTAACTGGGGGTAGTGGGGTGCTACCTGAATGGATGGAAATGATTGTTTTCCATATAAATGTAGTTGATGTGTTGATTTTTGGTATGATTCTTCGTCCAACATGCCTTTATGCTGTTGAGCCTCCTCGTGATCGTTAGCTTGTGTGGTGCGATTTGTACGTGTCGTAGCGCTTCGAACAAGTAATGTTTCTACAAGATCATAAATCTCATCATCCATTATATTGTCTAACATTTGCTCGTAGTTATTGAGGAGGTCCTCTTTGCTTTCCGATACGAGGGTGGTAAACGTGCTGAGACGGTTAAAACGTACCGGTGCTATGTTTTTGAGAGAGGTTAGTATGGCTCGAAACTTCGACTGGATCTCCTCAAACCGCTTGTTGTATTCCAAGTACGTCCTTTGTCGTGCGACGTCCTCGGTCAGTGCGGTCTGCTGGAGCGCAAGATGGAATGCAGACAAGTACCAGTTTTTTGTGCGCTCGGCGTCGCTCTCTTCGCTATCGTCGTCTACATCTCTGCCAAGGAAGGAAGCATCTAGTTTCCGGCGATCAAGGTGCTCCTTGCTAACGATCAAATTGCGCCGCTCCTCCTCCTTCGCTAAAAAGGTCTGAGCATCCTGGAAGGCCTCCCACCACTTGTCCTCCTTTTGTTGGCGTCCGTAGGAAAAAATTGCCTGATCTTTTCGGTCTTGAAACATCAATTGTATAATGAGGGAAAACGACTCCGCCTCTTGCACACATAGATCTTGTCGTGAGAGTGCCTCCAGACTTGTTTCGCCCACCAAGTGCCGCGCTAACATTTCGCGGTGATCTACCAGTGCCTGCCCTCTAACTTTGTCAGGCACGACGTAAAAAAAATTCGTGGACTGAGACTCAGCTGCAACTTTTCGATGTCTTGGCATCCTCTGAAGGCTGGTGCGGGTGCCATCCAAAGAGAAACTCCGTGACCCTTCAAATGGCAGTGACCCCGATTCACCCTCGAGAATGGAGTTCGCCGCGGTGTTGTGATGAGGCAAAATAAAAATATTTTGTATTGAGTTTGAGAGTGACATCGACCTGCTATCCACGCTCTCGTGCACTGCCCTGGCGGCATCTATGTTTTCTTGTCTGCTGGTGGCAGACGCCGCCTCTTTAACCTGCGACTTTCGAGTAGAAACCCTTCGCTGAACGTCAACACGCTCCGCCTTACGAGGCAGACGACGCTGATTCTCAATGGCAGGAATGCCCAGGCGCCGAAAGCGTTCTCGTTGCATTCGGAGAGGCAATCTGGGGCTCGCAATTTACAACTGATGTGGAATAGTTGGCGGTGCAAAATTTAAAAGCAATGTTTTACACGTATGGTGGATAGAAGGCAACTCCACCACCAGCACCGCCTCTCTCCCAAATAAAATGACACAACGAATTAAGTGACTGGGAGCAGAAGCGTATATGCCTACTATCCCGTGTCGCTATTGTCCAGAGAACAATTCGTGGTTCAAACAATTACTCACACACACACACACGTATGCCGAAGAAGCGGACAACCCCAATTAACAAAAACAAAAAAAAGTATAAACAACGCACAACAAAAAGGCTTAGTTGGACCAAATTGTTATGGTGCAGCAAATTACCAACGCGTCCCCTTCCTACGCTTGTATAACCTGTGAAACGTACCTTATCTAAGCACACCTATCGGCCTATATATATATATATATATATATATATATGAGCTGGATCCGAGTACCTCACGGGTGTCTACAAGCAGGTTCAATTTCACGGCAGCCACGACGGTGGCTGTGGCAGACTTTGCGTCCTTCTCACCCACTACTGCACACTGGGAGAGTGGAAAAGACACACGTACACTCACACGCGCAAATTCAAAAATATGCGGCTCAACAACTCGACAACGGCTTCGTAAACCAACAAACAATGAAGAGCACACACACACACACGCACAGAGGCAGTGGGAGAAATGAGGTTTCACCCACAGCTGTTTCGTTTTTTTTTTGCAGGCCCCCGCCTTTCTCTGTCCTGACAGCTCCGCCTCCTGCTGCTGTTCTCCCCTTTGCCAAACTGGCCGCGTCACAGCTGCGGACGCACAGAATCGCAAAGGCGTATATCACGCGATGTACGCCAGAGACGAAGCAAAACCCAAATAATAAAAAAAGATAGGCTTTTTTATGCAACGAATCGACTAGGCCAGTAAGCGAAGAAACGGAGCAACAGTAGCAAGCTCACCCAAAACAACGAGTTGAATGAGGCAAGCTGGCGAGTGGGTCAGCTGCAAATGGCAATACGGCAATACTAATTTATACGTGTGGTATGTACAAGGCGCCTCTCTACTGCTGTAGAGTTTGTCCCAACCTTCCGTGCCCACACACGCCCACTTGTACTCGAAGAATCAAACAGCAACAAGACCCCACCCTAAAAAAAAAAAAAAAAAACTATTTTTTTTTCCTCTTTCTTCCCTTCCCTCCTTGGGTATTTATTCCTTGCCTATTGCGGCCTAATTTCCTTTTTTTTCTTTTTTGATATTTTCTCCCGCTTCTTCTCTTATATTCACTTCACTAGCTTCCTCAAACCCCGGCCTCTACTTCCTTCACCTTAATGACGGCAACAACTAAATTCCGGCTTGCGTGCACAAACACAAGAAGCCCTGCGAGAGTGAAAAAAAAATAATAATAATAAAACGGGAAAATAAAAAAATAAAAAACGCAAACACATCTGCAAGGTGTGCGCAGGCAAAACACCCCGCCCACACCCTCGATGAAACGTGAAACATTCAGAAATTAACAAAACAAATTCGCAAAAAAAAAACAGCATAGCAAAAACAAAAGAAAAACGGAAGTCTTGACGGAGACAAAAGACTTCTCAGCTACACACGCACGGAGAGACACGCATCCCATCCCAATTTCCTTCTCCCTCCGCTTCCACTCTACTTGAGAGGAATGAAACGAGAGGAGTGCGTGGCACCAACACCAGGACGACCGTGCATGACGGGCTTGTACGTCATGGAGAACTCGCCAAGGTAGTGTCCAATCATCTCACCCTTAATCTCCACCGCGTTGAACTGACGGCCGTTGTAGATACCGACCACGGAGCCCACCATTTCGGGTGTGATGACAACATCACGAAGGTGCGTCTTCACAGCCCTTGGCTTCTCACCAGCCCTCACGTCCTTCTTCGCCTCGCGCAGGCGCTTCAGCAGCACGGGAGCACGAATGTCAGCGTGGCGGTTCATGTGACGACGGGCGCGAGCATGAACCAGGGTCTTGAACTCCTCCTCGGAGAGGGCCAACAGTGGGTCAATCTCAAGTCCACGGTACGTGAACTTGTGGAATGTACGCTCCTTCTGAGCTGCT